CGCGGAGCGGCTGGGCCCGTGAGCCATGGCCGCTGAGCCTGCGCGTCCGGAGCCTGTGCTCCGCAACGGGAGAGGCCACAACAGTGAGAGGCCCGCGTACCGCAAAATAAAATTTAAAAAAGTAAACTGCTCATTAATTGGTAAGCAATCAGAGGGCTAAGGAAGAGGGTAATTTGATACCAGGGGATGTAATGGGCGATTTGTCTGGTGGAGAACTTCAGCAGATGTCACTGTACAGATCTATGCTATTGTGGGCGTCTTAAGCCTGAAGGTGGCTTCACATGCAGGCATTAAACCCTCAGGGCTTGACAGCTTCCTATTTGGGTAGTCATATGCAGCAAAGAAAAGTCAATATGTATCTCATCTACATTTCATATATATTGGTTTAGATGTTTCTTAACTACCAGTAGATAACTTTAATTAATGAATTTAAGCAAGGCAATAAATGCTCTTCCAAAAATTAAAATGCATTTTCTCTCTTGCCCTTTTCCTGATGATTTAAACCCCTCTAAGTCTGGCCAGGTGGCCAGAGTACTGGAGAGACAATCTTTGAAAATTCATTGAGCCTGCGTGCAAGAAGACGTAGCGAATTTTAAGTAGCTACATTGGAAAACTTCCTGCCACATTTAGACATTGCCATTCTCTTTTGAATATGTGTGATAATAAATATTAGGTGCTACTTGAAATTTATTTTCCGACCTCGGGCTCTAAATCACGGTGCGACTGCTGGGCAATTGATGTGCATGAAGTCTCAGGCTCTGCCAGCAGAACCCGGTCCCTCCACTGCAGGAAACTGGAGGGCATCTGGTTAAGCTGACTAGCGAGTGTCAAGTAGCTTGGCCCAGCTCCACTTACATTTCGCTCCGTGAGCCAAGGATGCTGGGACGCTTCTCTCACATGATGCCGTTCTGATTTTTCAATGAGACTGGAGTAAAGTTTCAGCTATTTATATATTTGTAAACGAGCCATCTTGCAGAATCAGCACGGGAAAAGGCAGATGCTAGCTTCTATGGAAATTGGGACTCTTTCTGTGCCTGAGCTTGCTTTTATTGTTCTGCCACCTTCCAGGTGAGGGTTACGAGGGGAGAGATCTCGTGAGCTGTTGGTCAGGTACCCACTTAGTGCCTTGAGCCTGGCTTAATGTGAGGACCCAAAGGCAGCTCTTGCAAGGGTCCTTCAGATAAACACTGTTGTACCCAAAAAGGTGGCACAGGCTCAGGGAACATCTGACAAGGTTTCTATGTTTGGTTTTCTTTTCTCTTCATGTCCATTCTTCAGTATTCCTTAGGATAGCAAATGGTAAGTATTTGGGTGCTTTCAAAGATTCTGGGTGGCATGCTACCCAGTTTTCTAGAATTTTCTAGCATCATTTTAGAGGAAACGTTCTCAGCTTCATGTATCTACAAGTATCTCTGGTTATGTGAAAGAAATAATTATTTCTCTACAGATTGAGAGCAGTATCCCAGGTGATCACACTCTGATTATCTTTAAATTGTCTTTTGGCAATTATCAGGGCAAAATGGTGAAGTTTTGAGAGAAAACATATACAGAACATGCATATGGTACGGAGCGCCTTATTTTCTTGGTATAACATAATTCTTCTGTTTCATTGGTTGCTTGTATATAAACATGTTTTTAAATAAAAATGTGTTAGTAGTTGAATATATAAATTTAAAATGTCACAGAAAAGTGAATTCGTGATTTATTATTGAATTCAAGGACGGTAAAGAGCCTTATCTCTCAGGTTCTATGTCTATCTGGAATACTGTGTTGAGAAGGCTTCTGAGGCCCTGTTGAGTTCAGCAGATTGGAGTGCTATGGCCCATTCGTGAAAGGAGGGGGGAAGGGAGGGCTGTAGTCTGTAGTCTAGTCTGTAGCCTCTCTGATTTAGGATGACACCTGTGACCGGGTGGCTTTTGCAGCTGAAGCAGTTCCCAAGAATGGGGGGAAATGAGACTATGTGTGAAAAAATAATCAACACAGATTACTAAGATTTTATGAGCTTGGATAGTGTAGCTAGAAACAGTGGCATAGCTGATAGATATGGTCCTCTTTGCTTTTGTTACAAACAAATAAATCTCCAGTGAAGAGGAGTCGTCTCTCTGTCCCTTTCATTAAATTGGTGGTTGCTTCCTGGAAGCAAAGGGCTCTTTAGTTTCATGGCTTTACATGGAAGAAAAGAGCTGGTAGAAGCCCTTTTCATCTGTGTTTTGTAATACATAATAATCCTCAGCAATCCTTCTAAATAATTAGAAGATGTATAGCATTTTTTAGGAGATTTTAAAGTTCTCTGGACCTTAACAGTTCCCTTGGAAATATTCCTAAATACGGGGAAAGCTGTTGTGTGTATCACAGCATCATCAGCCCTGGTCTTTGCTCCTGTTGAATGATTCACTCCGTGGGCATGTCTTTTCTACATGGACCTTCACACTACCTACAGCTTTTTATTATTATAAATAACACTACAATATACAGGAAAGTTGTTCCCTCTGTTTTTCTGGCTAGAGAGGCCAGTTAAGATTTACCACTTACTCATCACCTCCTTTGTTTATTTTTCACGTGTCCGTTCATTCAGTAAACATTTGTTGAGCCCCAAAAATTCATAAGATTGATTTTTTCAAAGTAGAATTGCAAGTTCATTTTTAGAGATCTTGGTAATATACTTCTAATTATGTTCCATCATTGTTTTATCCATCTCTTCTGCATATTACCCAATTTCCTTAGTAACACTGGATATTATACTTAAAAATTTTGTTATTATGTTTTGTGTTTTTAACTGAAAACTTGTAACAATTACAAATAAAAGTTGTGGCTTACTATATAAGTATTTTAGGGGTTCCTGGAATTTTCTGTTCCGCTTAGGGTGAATAAGAGGTAGCATTCAATAAGTCACTGAAATGAATTCAGTCTAGTCCAGAGCTCACCCTTCTATTCAACATTTACTGAGATTACTATGGACTGAGCACTTTATTAAGCTCTGGGACTGCACTGGTGGAAAAGTGTGGGTCTCATCTTGCCTTCCTGAAGCCTGCTGGAGAGATACACAGTGCAAGGGAAAGCTACACTTTGCTCTTGCCTTGACCCAGGAAGAAACTGAGCTGTGTCCCTCCTATCATTCAAGCATAGGCTGCAGGACTCAAAGCCCACAGCTCCTCTCATAAAAGCTACACTTTCTGAGCACGTGGGCTCAGTAGTTGTGGCTTGCAGGCTCTAGAGCGCAGGCTCAGTGGTTGTGGCACACAGGCTTAGTTGCTCCGTGGCACATGGGATCTTCCCGGACCAGGGCTCGAACCCATGTCTCCTACATTGGCAGGCAGATTCTTAAGCCCTAAAATTTTAAAATCATACAATTTAGCCAAGTTTTATTTTATTTTTTAACATTTATTTTATTGAAGTATAGTTGATTTACAATGTTGTGTTAACTTCGGCTGTACAGCAGAGTGATTCAATTATACATATATACGTTGTTTTTCATATCCTTTTCCATTGTGGTTTATCACAGGATATTGAATATCGTTCCCTGTGCTGTACAGAAGGACCTTGCTGTTTATCTATTCTACATATAATAGTTGGCATCTGCTCACCTCAGACTCCCAACCCATCCCTCCCTCACTCCCTCCTCCTTGGCAACCACAAGTCTGTTCTTTATGTCTGTGAGTCTGTTTCTGTTTTGTAGATATGTTCATTTGTGTCATATTTTAGATTCCACATATAAGTGATATTCCACATATAAGTGGTATCATACGGTATTTGTCTTTCTATTTCTGACTTCATTTAGTATGATATTCTCTAGGTC